AATCAAGGTCTGGGTTAGATGATCTAAGAAGCCCTTTTCAACATTCAGATCTATGACTATAGAGACAGAAAATGGAAATGAGTGTTTATTTCTCTCCATTATTCAATCAAAAGGTGCTGAAAGGATTTGTTGGTTAACTGTGAGGGCATCAGATTGCATTGCAAGGCAGATTTTGTAAGGAATTGTGCATACAAATGCTAAAAGAGTGTCCACTCATGATCTCAGGACTTGTATGTCCACGCCATTCCAAATTTCCAGTTGAATGTGGCAGTTACTGCAAGATTATCTGCCCTTCATTGGTATCGACTGCGATGAGTTTAGCCAGGAATGGAACTCAAATAATTTTCTGTTTCTATTTTAGGATGTATTAAACCAGCTGGAACTAACACCCAAATTTTCAAATTTAGGATCCTAAACTTAAGTTCCTAAATTTCATATTTAGGCACATAAATAAATGCAATTTTCACAGCTCCTACTGGCTTCACTAACCAGGAATAACAGAAGTGCTATAAGAGATGACAGTGGAATGGAGTGTTGTTTCTCACCTTGTAACTTTGTTATGGATGTGTTTTGCTGACTGATGGAGTCAACAATCTGCAGGTACCATGACTGAGTGTAATCACCATGCCTGCAAAAAGCATTTTATTTTTCATTACGGATAATGGGATGTTCTGAACTTTGTGCAATTGCAGGATTTTAAAAAGCATGTTTTATTTAGAGGTTATTATGATTCTGCAATTTTCAGAATTAATTATCAGGAGAATGACGATCTAGACAATTATAATTAAGTCAATTTTAGGAATTAATCATCCTGAATTGGACTATCTAAGCAATTAATAATGAATTAAATGAATCATGATTCCATTTGAAAGTTTTTGCTACTTCTCATTTGAAGAACAGATGGACTCTGTTTTGTATCCAGCTGAAATCTCAGGCTGCTGATCAGCTTCAGATTATCAACTAGCCTCTAAATTTAATTTCTGGATTCAAAGGAATTCAAGCGTTTGTCTGAAATTCCCTTGCAAACTGTGCTCCCTATGACCATCTATTCATGTATAAGTCCTACTAATAGTAGGGGAATGTGCGAGAGCCACATGAACATCCTTTGCATACTGCTAGGCCCAGAAGGTGAGAATCCAAAATAAAGCAACAACAAAATAATAACAGCCACATGTTTGAATTTAACCATATAATCCCCAATGTGGTAATGACTGATTTAACATTTCTTGGCAGTATTTTTCTTCTGCCGTAACCAGATTTACTAATATGAGAGTCACGTACAGGAGACTGAATTGTTCTATATTCACACTCAAACAGAGGAATAAATTCCTAAAACACAGGGGGCTTAATTCTTCCACTCGAGGACACAAACAATTTCTATATATTTCAGTGGGAGCTAGTTGTATTTGGAGGTGGGAGAACTGGCCATAGATTTGCATAGGGGCAGCTGCCCCGGGGGCCCAACACCGTCAAGCGCAGATGAGCACATTTTACTGCATGTGTGTATGTTGTGGGGTGGGAATACAGATCCAAAGCAACAGCAATAGGACTTGTTTGAAAAGCCTGGCAGGCACACTACTGAGGGGCACTTTCCCACGTGTTCTAGACTAATGAGCTACCCTGTTCTGTTCTGTTTTTTACACTGATTAGCAGGGCCTGGTCAAAAGCTACTTGGGGAAAAGGTAACAGCTCTCAAGATCTGTCATGACCTGTGTGTCTTGAGAACAATGCAAAACTTTGCAGATGCTTTCAATGTAAACTAATAATCACTGCATGAATCTTCATCATACAGCATCCCCAAACCAGAAGCCACTGCAAACAGTTTGAGGAAAACATTGGCCATGTGCTGGCAAAGAATTAATGCTCTACATCTATGAAATGCTGGAGACTGAGTCAGACCTGCAGGTGATGTTTTCTATCAGTGGCATCAACATTTATCAGTAGATAAGAAAAAAAAAGTAAACCAGAATGTGCAAAATTCTGCTAGTCTTACATAGCTAAGGTACACTGTGCAAGGGATTATTAGCATGCAGGTTGCAATTCTTTAAGGGCTGCTGATCTATCGGAGGTATCATGCTTTGTCCATTTGGCACATTTCTCATTGCTTCAGATACAGTAGTCCACTTAATCTGGTAGTAAGTCACTGAAACTACACTGGCATTGCATCTGGGAATTGGTTTGCTAGTACATTCAGCAGAAAACTTGCTGCTGTAGCGCATGTGGTTAAGACGCTCTATACTGACAGGAGCTCTCCTGTTGGCATAATAAATCCACCTCCACGAGAGGCAGTAGCTATATCAGCAGGAGACGCTCTCCCACCAACACAGCGCTGTCCACACTGGCACTTAGATTGGTGTAACTTATGTTGCTCAGGGGAGTGACTTATTCACTGTAAGCTATTAGTAGTGTAGACCTGGCCTAAGTTAAAAGAAAGTCTGACAGCAACACCCAGAGGTAAGGAGATATGTGGCAAAACTGGCTAGGTCTCAAATTTGTTGAGATTGTTTGCTGTACCCAGGGGAAAAGGGCAGAGAGAGAGAGAGACAGCTATTCAAAACAACAATGGACAATCTCAGTCTGTAGGAAAATATTAAACACCTGACAGTCCAAACATAGAAAAGACTAATTTTAAAGCAATGCCCCACACATGCATTAGATCCCTTCATACTGTTTTAAACTCCCCATTCCATCACACAATATCATTTCAAGCCTTCTTCTTTTCCACATTTTCCTGAGTAAGGCTTTAGTGCATCTCAGCTGTGGAACAACTCACAGAAACCAGTGTTTATTGGCTCTTGAGTGCTGGGATATTTTTGAGAAGTAGTTGTCTTGGCAAATACTTTAGTCTATTGAATAAACTCAGAGAAAGAACTGAAACTGAAATTCAGGCTTGCAAAATCGCTTTCTGAACCACATGAATTTCTGTCTAAAAACCATAAAGAAATGCTGGAAATCTGTTTAGAGGTTTCCAATCAGCTTGAAAATAATTCTGTCTGTCCAATTTAGTTTTTTAACTACCTGTATTGTAATAGATGGAAAAATATAAGCCCCACAAAAAAATCCAAGTTGATTTAACAGCACCCCAATGAATACAGGCCTGTTTCTCAACTGAAAAAAAAATTGTGTTGAATATTTTCCTTGTGCACATTTGACAGATACAAACTATTCCAAGTCCACCCACTGGGAGGGAATACATGAAAGTTTTTTTAGTAATTTTCTGTATCATAAAATGTGCTAATAACGTAATGAAAACTACAGTGTAAAAAATGAACAGAGCTGTAAGCGTAGAGAATTAATTGTAAGACAGAATATCAAAATCTAATTACTTGCTGGCAAACAGCATAGGTGCACTGTTGTAGATGGAGTCAAACGACCTTAAAATGCAAATTAACATAAAAAAAAAGTAACTCTGAGGGGAATTTTCATCCTGGGTGCAGTGATTTTTTTTTTAAACAAGTACTGTGTGTTTCTGTTGCTGCATAGATCAAATTTTCCTTGGCAGATTTGCTTTCTTGCTTTAATTCTAACAGCATGCAGGTTGTTGTTTTACTGTTGAGCACATCCTCAAAGAAGCTATACAGGAGGCAGCTTGCTTACACATCTTAAAATAGTGGGTAGCTCAAATGAGTTTTGATAGGGAGCTTTTAGCTGTAATTCTAACTTGTTTGGGTGATTAAATATAGTACTCTGCATAGAGCTAGTAGCCTTTAACAAGACACAAATGACACCCACACCCATAAGAAGGAAAAGAAGAGAAAAAAAACCAGTCAGCTCTTACTTTAAATTGACCTTCAAGTTGACTGTTAAACTTGTTCCAGTCTCTGCTTCTTTTCAGGACTCCAATGCTCTTTCATTAGTGGTTCATTTGAGTATGGAGTCCTTGAAGTAATGCATTCTCCATTCAGATTCACAATGCAGCACCACGCAGGCCCTGAGGTGGCCATCCATCCTGAAATTAAGAGGCAACATTCTCTTCTAGAATTGCACTTTATCAGAATCATTAGGGGTGACAGAAGATAGTGGCAGAGGCAGCAGCAACACAGAGTGAACACAGGCACATTAAAGCAAGATAAAAAGGGTAACCAATCTCAACATAATCTGTACAGAGAGAAGCCAAAATGCTCTCCTCCAACATGAACCATTTTTCTCTCTCTCTCTCTTTTTTTCCCCACACACAAACAGGAGTTTCATCTGGAGATAAAATGGCAATAGTAGGGAATGGCAAAAAAAAAAAATCCCAAACCAACAAGCTGCTTTATGAAACCACACAAGAGGATTCTATGAGCACAGAATTAGCTCAAGTAAAAGAAAATGATATTAAAATGAATCCACCCCCCCCCCCAATGCCCATAAATTGGCTCTAAGTGCTGGAGCACTAACAAATGTCATTTATTAGCAGGTATATTATCTATTTTAAAAATAATTATTTCTTCTATTTTAAAAAGTACATTGATCTAATTCAGCTCAATTTGAGGAGGACTATGAGGCATATTTTTAATATATGCAACACTTGGGCATTTCACCCAAGAATCTTGCCTGTTAAGCAGCACAGCAGAATTTAAATCTCTTATTATCAGGGATTCACCATCCTACAATCCCTTCAGGTATATGGCAATAGCAGTACATTTTATTGTTAGAGATACTGACCCAGAGATGCCTTAGATACCCCAGAGCCCAGGAGCACACAATAAATAGGAAATTGCTCACAAATATTTTTAGGTTAATTCTAGAGGGTCAAGAGTAATTAAACTATACTATAGATTTCTGCAAAGTCTTTTTTCGAGTGCATAGTTCTACACAGGAACCCCTGCAAACAGAATTTGTGTGAAAGTGGTGTTCTCGTCCATCCTCCCTGTGGAAGAAAAAAGCCCGGGTAGAGACCGTCGAATCGTGGAAGTTAATGGTGGTGTCGGAGAGAAGGCTTTGGATTCTTTGACCATGGGATAGGCAGAGACAGGCTCCACTTAACGAAGAGAGGGAAGAGCATCTTCGCAAGCAGGATGGCTAACCTAGTGAGGAGGGCTTTAAACTAGGTTCACTGGGGGAAGGAGACCAAAGCCCTGAGGTAAGTGGGATGCCGGGAGGAAGCACGAGCAGGAGAGCGCAAGAGGGGAGGACTCCTGTCTCATACTGAGAAAGCGGGACGATCAGCCAGTTATCTTACGATCAGCCAGTTATCTTACGTGCCTATACACGGCAAGAAGCCTGGGAAACAAGCAGGGAGAACTGGAAGTCCTGGCACAGTCAAGGAATTATGATGTGATTGGAATAACAGAGACCTAGTGGGATAAATCACATGACTGGAGTACTGTCATGGATGGATATAAACTGTTCAGGAAGGACAGACAGGGAAGAAAAGGTGGGGGAGTTGCATTGTATGTAAGAGAGCAGTATGAGTACTCAGAGCTCCAGTATGAAACTGCAGAAAAACCTGAGTGTCTTTGGATTAAGTTTAGAAGTGGGAGCAACAAGGGTGATGTCGTGGTGGGAGTCTGCTATAGACCACCAGACCAGGGGGATGAGGTGGATGAGGCTTTCTTCCGGCAACTAACAGAAGTCACTAGATCACAGGCCCTGGTTCTCATGGGGGACTTCAATCACCCCAATATCTGCTGGAAGAGCAATACAGCAGTGCACAGACAATCCAGGAAGTCCTGGTGCAAGTGCTGGAGGAACCAACTAGGGGCAGAGCTCTTCTTGACCTGCTGCTCACAAACAGGAAAGAATTAGTAGGGGAAGCAAAAGTGGATGGGAACCTGGGAGGCAGTAACCATGAGTTGGTTGAGTTCAGGATCCTGACACAAGGAAGAAAGAAGAACAGCAGAATACGGACCCTGGACTTCAGAAAAGCAGACTTTGACTCCCTCGGGGAACTGATGGGTAGGATCCCCTGGGAGAATAAAATGAGGGGGAAAGGAGGCCAGGAGAGCTGGCTATATTTTAAAGAATCCTTATTGAGGTTGCAGGAACAATCCATCCCGAAGTGTAGGAAGAATAGTAAATATGGCTGGCAACCAGCTTGGATTAACTGAGATCATGGCGATCGGGGGAGGTCCCGGATGACTGGAAAAAGGCTAATGTAGTGCCCACCTTTAAAAAAGGGAAGAAGGAGCATCTGGGGAACTACAGGCCAGTCAGCCTCACCTCAGTCCTTGGAAAAATCATGGAGCAGGTCCTCAAGGAATCAATTCTGAGGCACTTAGAGGAGAGGAAAGTGATCAGGAAGAGTCAGCATGGATTCACCAAGGGCAAGTCATGCCTGACTAACCTAACTGCCTTCTATGAGGAGATAACTGGCTCTGTGGATGTATTATTCCTTGACTTTAGCAAAGCTTTTGATACGGTCTCCCACAGTATTCTTGCCGGCAAGTTGAAGTATGGGCTGGATGAAGGAACTATAAGGTGGATAGAAAGCTGGCTAGATCGTCGGGCTCAACGGGTAGTGATCAATGGCTCCATGTCTAGTTGTCAGCCGGTATCAAGCGGCGTGCCCCAAGGGTCGGTCCTGGGGCCGGTTTTGTTCAGTATCTTCACTAATGATCTGGAGGATGGCATGGACTGCACTCTCAGCAAGTCTGCAGATGACACTAAACTGGGAGAAGTGGTAGATATGCTGTCGGGTAGGGATAGGATACAGAGGGACCTAGACAAATTAGAGGATTGGGCCAAAAGAAATCTGATGAGGTTCAACAAGGACAAGTTCAGAGTCCTGCACTAAGGACGGAAGAATCCCATGCACTGCTACAGACTAGGGACCGAGTGGCTAGGAAGCAGTTCTGCAGAAAAGGACCTAGGGGTTACAGTGGACGAGAAGCTGGATATGAGTCAACAGTGTGCCCTTGTTGCCAAGAAGGCTACCGGCATTTTGGGCTGTATAAGTAGGGGCATTGCTAGCAGATCAAGGGACGTGATCATTCCCCTCTACTCGACATTGGCGAGGCCTCATCTGGAGTACTGTGACCAGTTTTGGGCCCCACACTACAAGAAGGATGTGGAAAAATTGGAAAGAGTCCAGCGGAGGGCAACAAAAATGATTAGGGGGATGGAGCACATGACTTATGAGGAGAGGCTGAGGGAACTGGGATTATTTAGTCTGCAGAAGAGAAGAATGAGGGGGGGATTTGATAGCTGCTTTCAGCTACCTGAAAGGGGGTTCCAAAGAGGATGGATCTAGACTGTTCTCAGTGGTACCAGATGACAGACCAAGGAGTAATGGTCTCAAGTTGCAGTGGGGGAGGTTTAGGTTGGATATTAGGAAAAACTTTTTCACTAGGAGGATGCTGAAGCACTGGAATGGGTTACCTAGGGAGATGGTGTAATCTCCTTCCTTAGATGTTTTTAAGGTCAGGCTTGACAAAGCCCTGTCTGGGATGATTTAGTTGGGGATTGGTCCTGCTTTCAGCAGGGGGCTGGACTAGATGACCTCCTGAGGTCCCTTCCAACCCTGATAGTCTATGATTCTATGAATTACTTGATTTAGCCACTCCATGGGCAAATGCAAACATCCCCCAGACTCTCCTTAAAATATCTGGCTTATAAACTGGTTTGATTTGAACCTGTGATCTAGACATAAAAGTACCACCTTCTACTACCAATGTTTTGAGCAACCCTGTCACCCACTTCACATTCCTGAATGATTTGGTAATTGTTTTTTGTATATGGCAGCAATTTTTGAAAAAGGGGTGAAATGTCCCACTAAAGCCCCCCCCCTTTTTTGAGAGAGAAGGGGTGCATCTAGTTCTTGCTTGGAGTGTGAGGACATAACCACAGAGCCGTACTTTCAGAAGCAACTTGAAAACTCCCTGATATGTAGGTTTGGTACCTCCAGCTCTTCCTCTTTCAGGTGCACTCTCCCACCCCCAACCCCCAGGCCCATGAGCCCTTCTCACAGGAACCTCACTCCTCGAGGAAGCCCACACTACTGTCCCCTCACAGGAACCCCACCTTCCCCCATCCTGATCTCCACTCGCAAGCCTCAGGTCTGTCTGTCCTTCCCAACACCACGTGACCTATGTACTGCTGGCTGAGCAGCTTACAGTTGCTCGTTTCAATATGGCAGGTTTCTTTTTCCAAGTAGGGGGGGAAAAAACCCAAAAACCAGCACACTACAACCAGCAGCCCAGCCAGCCAGTCAAAAAACCAGCAAGGCCAATTAAAAACCCTACTGACCAAGAAGTCTCTCTTTATTAATCTCCCCCAGCAACACACCCTGGTCCTCTCTAATAACTCTGGAGGACAAGGAACTTGATAACTAACCACTCCACATGGCCCGCTGCACAGGGGTGAATTTCACTCTTTTCCAGTATCTCGCTGCCAGAAACCAGTGTTTGGAGAGGGAGGTCAGTGTCAGTATTGAGGGACCGGGGCAGGGGGACCAGAATCGCGACAGGGAGCACTCCCACGGGGCAGGCGACCAAGATCTGCGCCGAGAGGACAACTGGCAGGAGGGTGAACGGTGCTGGTAGAATGAAGACCGGCACCTCCTCCAAGGAGATCCCCGTCGAGATGGCAGAAACCATAATCGCGGTGCCAGCACGAGCACGAGCCCCAGAGGATCTGTGCCGAGATGCCGGAGGCCCGCGGCACGGAGATGGAGAGTGTTGCCTTGTCTCGGGGGATCGCCGGCGCTCCACTACCCCAAGGAGTCTTAGCGGCAGGCTTGCCCTCATAGGGAGCCTTTGCTGTGTGCTGGTGGTGCGAGCGGAGGCCTCTGCTCTCTCAGCACTGGGGAGCTTGGGAAAGCATCGATGACGTCAGGAGTTTGGGTCCCCTACCACTCCCAGGAGTTGGTGGTGGACCCTTTAAGGGGCTAAAGGCCCTGACTGGGGAGACACGTTCACATGGCTCCGGAGTGGCTGGGCAGCCCAAACTGGGTCCTTTGCCCAATGCCCCATGGCCTTTCTTGTCTAGGGCCGGGGAACCGTGCTTCCTTGCTCTCTTTCTGGGCAC